TGTAGGCATCTACAGAGCACTTCACCCAACAGCAGCACAATATACATTCTTTTTCAGTGCACATGGAACATTCTCCAGGATAGACCATATGTTAGGCCACAAAGCAAGCCTTAATAAATTTAAAAACACTGAAATACTGCAAAGCATCTTCTCAGATCACAGTGCTATAAAATTAGAAATCAACAATAGGAAGATCAACAGAAATAGAGTGAACACATGGAAGCTGAACAACACCCTTCTTGAAAATGACTGGATAAGAGAAGAAATAAAAAATGAAATCCAAAAATTCCTTGAATCAAACGAGAATGAAAGTACAACATACCAAAATCTTTGGGACATAGCAAAAGTAGTGATCAGAGGCCCATTTATAGCAATAAATGTACACATTAAAAAAGAAGAGCGAGCCAAAATCAACGCTTTAAACAAACATCTCCAACAATTAGAAAAAGAACAGCAAGAAAAGCCTACAGTCACCAGAAGAAAGAAAATAATAAAGATTACAGCTGAAATCAATGAAACAGAAAATAGCAGGGCAATACAAAAAAATCAGTAAGACCAGAAGTTGGTTTTTTGCAAAAATCAATAAAACTGACAAACCACTGGCAAATTTAACAAAGGAAAAGAAGGAGAGAATACAAATAACACGAATAAGAAACAAAATGGGTGATATCGCAACAGGACCAACTGAAATAAAAAGGATAGTATCAGGATACTATGAAGATCTATCTGTACTCCAACAAATTTGAAAATATGGAAGAAATGAACAGATTTCTAGAAACACACCACTTACCTAAACTAACACAGGCTGATGTGGAAAAGTTGAACAGATCCATCACAAAAGAAGAAATTGAACAGGTCATCAAAAAATTACCAACAAAAAGGAGTCCTGGCCCAGACACTGTCACCAGAGAATTCTACCATTCAGACTAGAACTGACACAAATGCAACTCAAACTATTCCAAAACATAGAAAAGGATGGAATCCTCCCTAACTCATTTTATGAAGCCAGCATAACCTTGATACCAAAACCAGGCAAAGCCATCACTCAAAAGGAAAACTACAGACCAATATCGCTCATGAATATAGATGCAAAAATCTTCAACAAAATCCTAGCCAATAGAATCCAACAACATGTCAAGAAAATCATTCATTATGACCATTATTTTATGCACAGGGAGGCAGCTCAGGGGGTGGAAGTGTATGGAAGGACTGACGCAGGGAAGAGGTAACTATTCGGAGGAAGTGGGAGGGGAGCTGCTGCATTGAGGTAAATTGTAGTCAATGTCATGAGACAAAGTGTATGTGAACTGCTGAAAGTGAATTGTGAATTTGCTCTGTAAAATTTCACTCATAATTAAAAAAAAAAGAAAGAAAGAAATTCTATGGGGCAGTTCTACTGCTGTGAGTGAGAACTGACTTAATAGTAGGTTTGGTCTGGTTTTCAGCACTAAGTAACTATTTTTGAATAAATAAAATGTGAACTTACTATCTAAAGAATACTCATGTTGCATACACTTCTATTTTTTGAATTAGGGCTGTAAGTGGATTTATAGTTTGATACCTTACATACACTCAAAACATATTTTACCAAAATAAAATCTCCTGAGGTAAGAGCCTTGTTAAATAGTCACATTGTAACTTACTAAGTATACATAAATATCATACACCACACATTTCAACATTCATTTTTACTGATCAAACACTTACAGGTTTTGGCTTCTCTCTTGAGTTACATTTTTTCAAATGCTTTGCTAGTTGATCTTCATATACTGTGCTAAATTTGAAGAGAAAATTAGTTAAAATGAGATCTGTGACAATTACTATTTTCAGCACAGAAAAATCCCTGTCTGAATTATACTTACTGTTTTGGATCTAAAGGACACAAGATTCTTTTTCGAACATTTTCTTCCTAACAAATTAAAAAAGATACATTTACTTAAAATACCAAGTTTATCACTTACAGATATTAGATATAACTTCAGTGTAATCATAAACTTATACATCACCTATACAACGTAAGAAAACTTTAAAAAAAAAACAAAAGAAAACCTCCAAAATAACTGCTTTATTTATATATGCACAAGTGGTTTTAGACAAACAATGATCCAAGGTTTCAAACAGGTTACAAAGAACACCTACCCATGGAATTTTGAATTTAAGGTAGCATCAATTGTAACATTAACTATTATTTTGTGTACCTCCAAGAAAGAAAAAATGTTGCCAATATCACCTAGGACATATCATTGATTTAAAGATGCATCATCAAGATTTAAGAGATGTAAGAATGTGAAAAGAAGTATCTTAGAAACAAAAAAATAGGATATTTTAACTATTTGCCACATGGCCATATTCTACTGGTTTTCTAACCTTTCACTATAGCAAAGTTGTATCCTACATGTTTCTAACTTACATGTATTTAAGTCTATGCAATGGGGGAAAAAAAGAAAGGAAAATTAGTTTAAGTTTGGCAATTCTGTCCAATATTCCATATAAATCTGCATGTAACTGGATAGTGTAACACTTAAGACCACAGACCTGCTAGACTGCCTATGTATGAACCCTATCTCTGTTACTAGCTCTATCTTGGTCAAGCTTATTCCTCATTTGAAAGAGGAAAATAATACTACGTCTTACCTCCTAAGGTTTGTGAAAATTGAGTTAAATTTTGAACACTGATTAGCACAGTGTTGGCCGTTACTATCTTCCGCCAGTTTATCTTAGTCTCGATGAGCCTTTCAGCATATCCATGAAACTATGTGTACTGAATTTCATGGCAAGGTTAAACAATTTTTCAACTTTTGAAAATATTGTGTTATTTCTTCTTTGCTTGCTGACTTTAAATCTTAATCTCCATGTAAGAAAAAACTTTATTGTAGTCCATAAATTCTAACTATATGATTTAGCAAAACAATACTATTTCCATTTATCACTTGGGGTTAGAAACAGGATTTTTCAACCTTGACATTTTGGGTTGGAAAATTCCGTCTTGTGCATTTTGGGATATTTAGCAGCATTCCTGGACTCTACTCACTAGATGACAGTAATATGATCCAGTTGTAACAACCAAAATGTCTTTAGACATTGCCAGTTTCCCCTGGGAGGTAAAACCATGCCAAGGTTAGAACAAACAAGTTAAAATAAGTATAGCTGGTACCATCATAGGACTCTGTGATATGTTTTTTAAAAGAATAAAACACAACACCCAACTACATCATAAATTACAGAATCAGTTGCACGGCTGTGATTCAAAACCAAATCACAGTCATGGGAAGCATTTTCACTCATTTTGCAGGTTTTACTCAAGGGACTAAAAACAACATGAGGTCATTCTTCTCCAGGAATACCAACCAGCTTGTAACGACCTATTTACAGTCTACTATTTTCACCATCTGCAATCACCTTTTACATGTTTGGGTAAGGTGAAGTCTAAGGCCTTGTAATAGAGTAGAAATGAACTCGCTATTATCCTTTAACCAAGAAATGTTTGCTGGACCCTTGAAAAACCAGCCAATGCAACTGTAGGTGTACTTCAAATAGTTCCCATGATTAAGTCACAGGTCTCCCACATTCCAAAACAAGAATATCCTTGCTTTAGTATGATACACTCTAAGCAACTATCAGTCAAATCAAATTAGACCGTAGATCTACGGCTATGAAGAAAAACGGCAGATGACAGGGCTCAGGGAACTATCAGTATCCGATTTCCCTAGAAGGATAAATCATTTGACTTATCAAAAGCAAATAACACTGGGCACTCATAAGGCAGAAAACGAAATACTGACTTATTTGGCTTATTCTTTCTAATCCTCTCAGTCAAACATGCTCTTTTTCTTATGCATCTTATTTATCATATATATTCACACATATATACATTTATGTAAGGAAATATACGTATATACAACTATTTATTGTTTGACCGTACAATTATAACTATAATTTAACACATCGTACGCTTTCTGTTCTCAATTTTAAAAGGAAAGTCATTTCTTACGATGTTCCTTAATCTATCCTCCCCCTTCCCAGCAAGTAATTTTACGTTGCTTTCTAAAGAAAAAAATAAGAAAAAAATAAAATTAAAAAAGTTCCTCTCAACTGCATTCACAAGACGTGGTTATCACTTAAGAAAGAATTATTAGAACACAATTTATTTTCTAAACTAACACGAACACAATTTATTTTCTAAACTAACACGCCGGATTATAAAGGGTGGGCGGGGTGTAAGAAGCGGTAGTTTAAAGTAAAACTAAAATCCAGCAATACCGCGAGTTAGGACCAAGATAAAGGGGTCGATGCTGCACTTTACTTACTAAGAGAAAACACTGCTCAACGCTAGGTCTCATCATCGTTCCCCAGGGAGGGCAGGACAGCGTTTACTAAACGAAAAACTAGGTGATCGAGGGGTCAGCCGGAACCTTTCAGAGAGGAGAGGGGCCGCGTCCCAGCACCCACCACACGGGGAAACTATTCCGACTTTCAGGAGAGTAGGGCGATACCAGACCTCCACGTCAGTCTCCGCGGCTCCAGCGTGTTCACCACAGAACCGTTTCCCTGCTGCAACTACCAATCTGCAGAACCGCTTCTTCTTTTCCACATAGTAACCACATCTACCCTCAGCTGGAAAACCAGTCGCTTGCGGCGTTGGCGCAAAAGCCGCCATAATTCAGGACCCGCTTCCGGTGTTGAGCACCTGAAGATGAGAAGAAAAGTTGTCACCTTTCCGCGAGTTCCCTTCCCTTAACAAACATGGCAGCCTCGCGTCCCGCCATACAGGTTAATTTCCGCAACTACCGCAACCGTCCTTTCTGTACTACTCAACACCGGAAGAATCTGACGGTGGCTGGCAAAGTCCAAACTCCCTCCATCTTCCCTCTCGTTTCTATTTCCCCGCCTCCTCTGCAGGAACCGAGCGCCAAACTCAAACTTTATCAAGGTCCAGGCCCTTTACCGGCTGCTGCTGAGGGCCGTGCCTTTCCTCATCTCAGCCAGGGCAGCGGTCCAACATGAGCCAGATTCTGTTCCAGCAGTTGGTTCCGTTGCAGGTGAAATGCAAAGACTGCGAGGAAAGGTGAGGTCTGCGCCACCCGGTGCCCCCGGGTGGCGGTTGGGGTCGGGCCAAGGGAGAAATATGGCGGATCTGGCCAGTGGGCATCCACTGCGGCTAGGTGACCGGCTGGCCTGGAAGCGTTGAGAGCACCTAGCTGCGACCTAATGGTTATCCTTCTCACTAAGCTGGGCGTTGCAGTTGGGAAGGAAGGGAGAGTGTAAGATAATAGGAAGCTGCCCCTATCAAGTTAATGTCAAAAATTTTAGCGCTGGAGGTTATAGCACCATTTTTCCCTTTTGACAGGTAAGACTGGCCCAGAAAGGTTAAACAATTTGTGCGAGTGCTGTCCTCGAGTTCACAGGGCCAGCAGCAGAACTCAGGCCTTGGCTTCCAAATTTGTTAATCGCCGTTCTTTTGGATTGTATTGGATGTACATTTAACCCTCAACTACAAAAAAAAAAAAATAATAATAATGTTAAACTTTTATTTTCTAAGCATTAGTTATATTTATAGCAAATTAACGTTTAATGGACTAAAAACAATAAGGAAAAACCAGAAATTTCATTTATTCAAAAATACTGCCTGCTAGCAAAACACCTTGCTGGGCACTGGCGATTCAATGGTCAGGTAAAACGGGATTTGTCTTCATGGCATTTACAGACCAGTCTCACAGATAAATAAAAACTTGGAACTTTAATTAAAGAGATGGTGAGAGATTTGACTAGAAGTTAGAGATTTCAGTTTTTGTCTTAGTTCAACCACTTATTAATTGTCTCTTAATTTCTCTGAACCTTAAGTTTCTCACTTGTGAAATGGGTACTATATATATAACATACCTACCCCACATGGTTGTTGTGAGGAACAGGTGTGAAAATGTATGGGAAAACTGAATGGTGGAGAAATACGACATTAAAGATGAAAGCTTATTGACTTAGTGAGTTGTCAGACTTAGGTCCAAACCAAGTGGCAAGCCAAGCAATGAGATGGTACCAAAACCAGCAGCTGTATATGGCGATCTGTAGGTTGTTTTAGTTGAACAGTTTTCTGTGCTGTCCAGCATTGCAGCCACTCTAGCCACAAGTGATTACTTTACACTTGAAATGTGGGTAACCCATATTGATATGCAAACCAGGTTTTGAAGATCTACTGGGAAAACAAAATGTAAAATACCTTACTGGTAATTTTTATATTAGTTGTATTAAAATGATAACACTTTAGCTATATTGGGTCAAATAACTATAGTATTAAAATTAATTCTACCTTAAATTATTTTTTAAATATGGCTTCTAGAAAACATAAAATTACATACCTGGCTCACATTTGTGGCTTTCATTATATTTGTATGGGATAGTATTGTTCTAGAATGATAATAGAAAGAAGAAAGGAGGGAACACCACTTGTGATTCCATTGATGAAGCTGTTAGCTATTTTCCATCCGATTATACTGTCATCTGTTATATCTTCTTAAAACACTATTTCCCCCATGTTATTCCTCCTGTTTAGAAACGCTTAATATATTCCTATCATATATAGAAGGGGTCAGCAAACTACAGTGCCATGGCTAGATGGCCCACTGTCTGTTTTTGTAAATAAGATTTTATTGGAACCCAGCTATGCTCACTTGTTTATGTATTATCCATGCTGCTTTTGTGCAGTGTTTGCAGAAATAAGTAAGTGTGACAGAGACTTTACGACCCCCAAAGCTTGAAATATTTTCTGGCTGGCCCTTTATGAAGGAGCCCTGGTGTTATGATGGTTAAGTGGTTAGCTGCTAACTGAAAGGTTGGCAGTTTGAACCCACCAGCTGCTCCATGGGAGAAAGATGTGGCAATCTGCTTCCGTAAAGATTTATAGCCTTGGAAACCCTATGGGGCAGTTCTTCCCTGTCCTATAAGGTCACTATGAGTTGGAATTTGACTCAATGACAGTGGGTTTGGTGGGCACCCTTTACAGAAGTTTGCTGACCTTGACCTATAGGGAAAAAAAATCCAGACTCTGTAGTTAAGTATTCAAGATCAGTTTAATTAAAGAAATATTTGTGAATGCCAACTATGTACCAGGAACTGTCCTAGGTGCTTTCACCCTTCAATAATTAAAAAAAAAAAAAAAAAAAAAAATTATTCTGATCCTCATTCAGTGTGAACTCACACTTTAATAGAGAAACAAGATTTCCTTGGAGAGACAGCATAGCGCAGGTTCAAGTTTAGATGCTGAAGGCAGATTGCCTGGGTTTAAATCTCTGCCAGATACAAGTTAATTTGTTAATTAGTGTTTGGTTTTGTACAAGTTACTTCTCTGTGCTTTAAATTGTTGATAAAGTACCTCTTTAATGGGATTATTGTGAACATGAAAGGAGTTAATGCATATAAAGTGCTTAAAACAGTGCTTACAGAATAATCGGCACCCCCTGAACAGTAGCTATTCATAAAGTGTATTAATGCATTAAATAATACAAGTATATTAAAATCATAATAAAGAAAGACATTCAGTAGGGAACAGAAGTAATGAACAGGGAACTTGAATAGAGAGAGGTGATGCAAATGTTGAAACCCGTGGTTTGACATTAATCTGCCTTGTCAATTTTGTTCCCTATGCACCTTTCTATAATGTGCTATTCACACGAGACTACTTGTTATCCTCTGAATGTATCTAGTACTCTCCTTATACCATAATTTTAATCTTCTTGTTCCCTCTGCCTCAAATGCTCACTCAAATTCCTCAAATGCTCACTCTTTCATCATTTATCTTAGGAGCTCTGGTGGCATAGTGCCTAAGGCATTTGACTGCTAACCAGAAGGCTGGTGGTTCAAACCCACCAGCCACTCCTCAGAAGGAAGGTTGGGCAATCTACTTCTGTAGTAATGCCGCCTCGGAAACCCAAGGAGGGGTCGCTTTGAGTCGGATCTGACTCCACGGCAGTGAGTTTCGTTTTTATAGCCTATTTTAAATCCTTTCATTGTTGTTGTTGTTATGAGCCTTCGAGTCGGACCCGACTCATAGCAACCCCTCCTTGGGTTTCGAGGCAGTATCACTATGGAAGTAGATTGCCCCATCTTTCCTTCCAAGGAGTGGCTGGTGGGTTTGAACCGCCAGCCTTCTGGTTAGCAGTCAAGTGTGTTAGGCACTATGCTACCAGAGCTCCTAAATCCTTTCATTACAAGGACCTATTTTAAAGTTCCCTAAGTTGACACTAATTAATTGCCCTTACTCATTTATTAGATAGTATGGTGTAGGCCAAAGATCTGACTTCCAGTTTGGGCTCTACAGTGTAACCTTAAGCAAATCCTTAACTTTGGTCTTAGGTTCTTCCTTGGTGAAACAGAGATGATATTTACTCTACAAGATTATTTTTTAAAAAAGATGAACTATGTAAAATACTTGGCAGACATTCAGTAGTGTTAGTAACTCCTACTTCCCCTCTCTGGAGACCTAAAATGCAATCAGAAGCACATCTGGGGAAATATCATTAATCATTTAGTCTGATTTCAGTTTGAGGACATGGACCATGTTTATTTCTGTTTGTATCCCTAGCACCCAGTACAGTATCTGACTTAGAGTAGCTTTTATTTGTTTGCATTGAGGGTTTTAGGTCATAGCTACTAGGTGGCAGAAGTGGGCTAGAATCCAGTTCTGCCAGTGCCTGATATTTAAAATGTTTTTAAGAGAACATCTAGCCAAATCTAACTGATGGAAAATGTTATGTAGATTCATGCACTGTTCAGAATATGGCGTTTATTTTGAGAAATAGCGTGTTTTATTGAGAGGGTTTTTATCAATATTCTGTATTGTTTCTATGACATTAACTTTATGGAGGAATTAGGATTTGTGATTTTTAGATAGAATGTCTCCTGAAAGCTGAGATTTTTGTACAAGATATTTCTAGGGGAGAATTTGAAATAAACATAGGGCATAGGTTTATTTTATGGGCCTTTCCTTTCTTCTTTCCTCACTCAGCACCTAATGTACATGTTGTTGTTGTTGTTATGTGCCGTCGAGTTGGACCTCCTTGGGTTGCCAAGGCAGTAGCACTATGGAAGTAGATTGCCCCATCTTCCTTCTGAGGAGTGGCTGGTGGGTTTGAACCACTAGCCTTCTGGTTAGCAGTCAAGTGCCTTAGCCACTATGCTACCAGAACTCCCAATGCACATAGGCATTTGGAATATATGCAACAATATCATTAATATGATTGAAAGATGATTATGTTAATATACTTCATCCAGAATTATGTACAGAACATTACTAATTGGATGGCTCTTGAATCTTTACAAATTTATTAAGCATGACAGGACTTTTAAAATACTAAATATCCATAAAAAAATTAGTTATCAGTAAGAGTATCGTACCATTATGATATATACTAGAAAATTTTCAGAGAATGGACACCAGGCATAGTGACATTGTAAAGTTAAAAAGGACCTTACAAACCTTGTGATTCAATCCATTTATTTTACAAATTAGGAAATTAAAGGGTTTTCTCCACAGAAAGCTTAATATCAATGGAATTGGAGTAGGAATATCATCTGTTTCATATATATTGCCATCAGTACTCAATTGCTATGTGATGTATTTCTTAACTCTATAGTAGACAAATTTTTGTTGTTAGGCTCCGATTCATAGTGACCCTATGTACAACAGAATGAAACATTGCTCAGTCCTGCGCCATCCTCCTAATCTTGCTATGCTTGGCTCATTGTTGCAGCCACTGGGTCAGTCCATCTTGTTGAGAGTCTTCCTCTTCCTCACTGACCCTTGCTTTACCAAGCATGATGTCTTTCTTCAGAGAATGGTCTCGTCTGACAGTATGAGCAAAGTAGGTGAGATGAAGTCTGGCCATTCTCGATTCCAAGTGGCGTTTCCAGCTGTACTTCTTCCAGGATAGATTTGTTTGTTCTTCTGGCAGTCCTAAGGCATTTGACTGCTAACCACAAGGCTGGGGGTTCAAACCCACCAGCCACTTCTCAGAAGGAAGGTTGAGCAAGCTACTTCCATAGTGATATTGCCTCGGAAACCCAAGGAGGGGTCACTCTGAGTCAGATCCCACTCGATGGCATTGCTTTGCATTGTTTTGCCACAATTCAAAGGCTTCAACTCTTCTTTGGTCTTCCTTATTCATTGTCTAGCTTTCATATGCATATGAGGCTGTTAAAAATACCATGGGTTGGGTTTGGTACACCTTAGTCTTCAACCTGACATCTTTGCTCTTTAAAGAAGTCTTTTGAAGCAGATTTGCCCAGTATAATACAACATCTAATTTCTTGACTGCTGCTTCCACAGCTATTGATTGTGGAGCTAAGTAAAATGAAATCCCTGACAATTTCAACCTTTTCTCTGTTTATCATGATGTTGTTTATTAGTCCGATGTTGTTGTTGTTGTTCTTGTGTGCTGTCGAGTTGGACCTGACTCATAGCGACCCCTCTTTGGGTTTCCGAGGCAGTATCACTACAAAAGTAGATTGCCCCATCTTCCTTCCGAGGAGTGGCTGGTGGGTTTGAACTGCCAGCCATCTGGTTAGCAGTCAAGTGCCTTAGGCACTATGCTATCAGACCTCCCATTAGTCTGATAGTAGTAGACAAATAGAATGTGGAAAATCTTGAAAGAATAACTTAAAATTGAACACATTCTTTGTATTAGTTTACTTTCTTTCCCTGCACATCAAGGAAAGACAGTTGTTATTTAATTCTAGCAGAATAGTTTGAGACCTGCTGATGCATGGATGTTTTGTGTTTTCTTACAGATTTTCCCCTTTATTTCTACTTCTTCTCAGTTAAATTAATGCTTACAAAGCACCTTTAGATGCCTCTGTCCAATTCTGGATTCTCTAAGATGCAGTGTAGAATATGAAAAACTGTGTCCCTCCTCTCAGGGTTTAGAGTTAGGAGATGATAAATGATAATAAACTTGCTAACAATACTTCTGTGAGTGTACTGCATCAATAGTATATATTAGGTAGATTTACTTGTAGGTGTAAGGGAAAGGAATATTTTATCTTTGTGATTTTTAAACTTTCTAAGCTATTCTCATATTCACATTTTGTATTTTTCCGTGGAGTTTCTCATATGTCAGTCTGATCATTTGAAATGACATATATTTTTTAAGTGTAAAAGATTGTGATTAAATTGGTGGTTTGTCTGTTAATCGAATGAAGGCAGTAAGGTTATATATCAGGCTAGGTCAAGGAAAGACCAGGCTAGTACTAGGCCCTCTACAATGTTTATCACATCTAATCCTAGTGGAAGAACAAGAATTTAAACTTCAAACCCAGTGTGCTTTCCAGACATCTGTTCGTAATAAGTAGGGAATACCTGTGGCATGTTTTGTAGCTTAAGAGTGAAAACTTTACTTGAAACAAATGTCAGCGATAACTCATTTTACATGGACATATCTTTTCACACAGGAGAATAAGTGTTAGAGTGAGCATTGAACTCCAATCAGTTTCTAATCCAATTCACAGAAAGGTTGGTATTTATTTCTTTTTGAAATATATAATTTCTGTACATTATAGATAATTGTCTTCTTTAAAAATATGGGATCTTTTATATTTTTTATATTTTTTCATTTTGCTTTTTAATTTTGGGGCATTTTCTAACTGTTACACATCTGGAGTGGTAGAATCTGCTGGGACAACAATGGGATTTAGGGGCCCAGACTCCTTAAGTTTGCCCACTGAGTTATATAGGTCGCTTAAGTGGCATAGGGCCTAAGGCATCTGACTGCTAACCAGAAGGCTGGCAGTTCAAACCCACCAGCTACTCCCCAGAAGGAAGGGTGGGCCATCTACTTCTGTAGTGATGCTGCTTAGCAAACCCAAGGAGGGGTCGTTATGATTTGGATCTGACTTGACGGCAATGAGTTTTAGTTTTTTTTGACCTTGTAGTAGTAATTGACATTTCAGAGTGTAAATATAACAACAGAATAAATTGAAGCACTAAAGGGAGATACCATTAGTTTTTGAATCTTTTACTTTGCTTTTTCGAGAGGTATGTGGATAACTAGGGGATCAGTCCCACATGATCTTTAAAAGTATGAGTCATTAACAGAACTAATGATGTAGATAAAGGGCTAAGAAATCAGTGTGGTCTGTAAACTACCAAACATTCTGAGCTTCAACCTACCATATGTGGCTTTTTTTTAACTACTGTAATTGAAATATTTAAACCTCTTGCTGCTGAAACTATTGTTACCAACTTCCTTAAGGACTTAGGGGTTAGTACCTAACCAGAAACCCAAACCCAGTGTCGTTGAGTTGATTCGGATTCATAATGACCCTGTAAGACAGGGTAGTACTGCCCCATAGGGTTTCCAAGGCTGTAAATTTTTACAGAAGACTGCCCCAGCTTTCTCCTGCCAACCGGCTGGTAGATTCAAATTGCCAAATAGGTTAGCAGGCTAGTGCTTTAACCACTGAGCTATCAGGGCTCCTCTAGCAGTTAGAGAAGTGAAATAGAGGTATAGAGAGTTAAACTAGAAGGCAATGTGAGAGGTAGGATTATCATTTTTATCTTTCTGTATTCTGGCTGTTTCACATGAACTAGGATTTAGCCTACTGGTGTGACATTTCCATTACTTTTATTACTATCAAATTTTAAAATTTAAAAAAAAATATGTGAGAAGGAAAAAAAAATTGTAAGTACGTAAGTATAATTAGAGGATCCAAAAACTAAACATCACTACCTTTCTCTCTGCTTCTGCTTCTTTTCTGATCAAACTGTTTTAATCCCCTTCTCATTTTAGAATGCTTTCTCCATTCTCTTTTCCCTGTGTCATAAACTAAAAAGAAAAAAAAAAAAAAAAAAAAACCAAACCCAGTGCCACTGAGTTGAATCCAACTCATAGCAAAACCCTGTAGGGTTTCCAAGATTATATATCTTCATGGAAGCAGACTGCCTCTTCTATAGAGCGGCTTGTGGGTATAGCAGCTGAGTGCTTAACCACTGCACCACCAAGACTCCTCCTTGTGTCATACATTCCCTAGATGCATTAAAGGACCTAGTAGTATTAACTCTCTCTCAATGGCAGCTTCAAGGTTTTTTTTAAATAGTAACTTGGAATGGAATCATTAGGTACTTACACAGAAACTATTTAAGAACAGGGCATTGTGAGACAGAGCAAATACCCAGGTTGCTCATGTTCCAGAGTAGGGTCTATATTTATTTTTCTTACAGGTTCTTCCCTATATTTGCTGTGATTCTTCCTTTTCTAGCTCTATTTATAAGTGTTTTAGATTTTTCTACCAGGTCCTCAGTAGCCATGAGTAAATTTTAATTTAAAAATGAAAAACTTATTCTTAATACTTACTTCTTTGTAATCCCCCATTATCTTGTTGCTTGCCTATTTTCCTTACGCCACTGTTCTCTGAAGTATATAATTTCTGTGTACTTTCCTGTCAGTTTTAGTTCCTGTGATGATCTGGCACAGTATAAGCACACTATAGCTGGAAAGTGGTCTTTATGAAAGGCACACTTCTTTTGAAATTGAAAGCAGATGGAGTTCCATGTTAGTAGCCACCTGGGGTAGGGGAGAATTGGCCCTTAACAGGAAGCCCTGGCAACATGTTACCTGATACTCTTATCTTCTGCCTGAGAGACAAAAGCTACTTCTTTCTTCATAGTGGATGATTGTCAGTTCTGCTGTTGTGTTTGCCACTTTTGAAATACCAGACCAGTTAACTTGAGGAAAACTGGGAAAATATAATTTAATGTTGTACAGTCAGTGATAAAGAACATTTTTGTCATGGTGTTAATAGTGCAGCAAGGGGCTGGGTCTGTTTTGCTAAGCCTCTAGATGATATTCCTATACTTTGGATTCCTAGCATTTAATTAACTTTTACAGACCCCCATGTAGCTCTCAAAGAGTAGAATATTTACCCTTACATAAGATTCTAAGTCTCTAAAGACGAATGAAAAAATCATTAGCAGCACAAAACAAAGCCATCTGAAATATAACTCTGTTGCCTTGGTGATACGGAATGATTTCACTTCCAAAAAAGGAAGAAATTGAAAGCCAGATTTGCTGAAAACATTAAAAGACAACAATCTTTCTTTTAGGATTTAGTTATTCGACTGACTGATGATACTGATCCATTTTTTTTGTATAACCTCGTTATATCTGAGGAAGATTTTCAAAGGTAACTATTTTTTTTTCTTTCTGACCTCCAATTATCTAGGAGTAAATTGGTTTCTTAGTTTTATGAATGTAATGGTACTCTTGAAACAAACTTATTAGGATCATTTAGATGTTTTATACTATAATTATTCAGGATGTTTTATAAATAAATATATCACAGATTACCAGAATTCTGTTGAAAACAGCTCACAAAATTTGGAGCTTGAGCTAAATTTATTGACCATTTCCTCCCATTGAATAAATTCTACAAAAATCAGAGTTCCCCAGCTTAATTCTTTGTTGTAGTAGATATTCAGTTATTAAAAAAAGAATCATTCATAGTATTAATTAAGTTTAGTAATTAAATTTTTTTTCTTGTTAAAAAAAAATCTTTTCCTGTCTTCTGTTTAGTTTAAAATTCCAGCAAGGCCTTCTGGTAGACTTCTTAGCTTTCCCACAAAAATTTATAGATCTCCTTCAGCAGTGTACTCAAGAACATGGCAAAGAAATTCCAAGGTAAGTCTCATGAGACTAATATATGCTAATATATAATATATTATATATTACTAATATATAATAACTATATTAGTAAACTTCTCTCAAAACTAACTTTTTTTAAAAAAAAATTTTATTGTGATTTGGATGAAACTTTTCAGGGCAAATTCATTTTCCGTTAAGCAGTTCATACACATTTTGTTTTATGACATCGACTGCAGTCTCCACAGTATAACAGCTCTTTTCCTACTTCTTTCCTATGTTTACCAATTGTTGCATCTTAGATGGTTGCTCACAAGCTTTTAAGACCCCAGTTGCTACTCACCAAAATAGGATGTAGAACAGTGTTTTTGTGTTGTATGTTATGCCTATTGAGCATGATATCCCCCGAGACCATGATCCTGAGCCCATAGGTCCAACATCTCTCTCCCTCAGCGTAGTTGGCTATGGCTAAGAAGTTATCATAACTTTACCCCCTGTTAGTTCTACTTACATGGACATTCTTACGGCACATACAAATATATACGTAGAAGTATTATCTGCCAACTTTCTATATAGTCGTGGATATATTCCCTTTTGCTTAGACATACCTGATCATTCAGCCTGAGAAGACTAACTCTTTGTAGGACAAGCTGGTGGCAGAATATTTTCCATGTATTAGAAGTAATCCTGTCTATTTTTAAAATAATGCTTTAATTTAATTTAATTTAATTGACAAAGACATTAATGTAATCTGAAATATTTAACATCAAATGTATGTTTTTATAATGAACATGGAAAATGATAAGATAGTGTGTTTGTGTGTGTATATTCATATTTATGTAGTGCCAGTGCTTAATCCTTTCATTATAAAGTTCACCAGTCTTTTACCTATTTGTTTCATCAATTGATGATTGTTTTAATTAATTACTTGATTAGGAGTTATAAAATGTTGCTTTTCTAATTCTATCATTCTTTTAATATTTATTAAGACTCGACGGCACATAACAACAACAACAACAACAAGTATAATTATTCTATAAAGAAGAATTTTTACTTGTCAACTAAGGCTATTTGATTATTCTGAAAATTCATACTGAAAAAACCCCAAACCCACTGCCATTGCATCGATTCCAACTCATAGTGACCCCTGTTGTATTTCCAAAGCAGTAAATCTTTATGGAAGTCGATTGCCCAGCCTTCATTCTGCAGAGTGTTTGGTGGGTTTGAACTTCCAACCTTCTCGATAGCAGTCATATGCTTTAGGCACTATGCCATCAGAGCTCCTTCATACAGAAAAGGATACATACTTAATTCTTTCTTTTAAATTTTCAGAGTAAGGAGTCAACATCGTAGTGACTGCTGTGGTATTCAGTTAGCTTTTTATTTATTTTCAGTTATTGCTTTCTCTCTTCCCATCTGTCTCTCATAGTTAACTCATTTTAAATACTTATTATCGTTCATTCAATCCCTTTTCTTTTTTTTACCCACTTTATCCCATCTTTCACCATTCGGAATCCTTGTTTGCTCCTATGGTTCCAATATGCTTCTCTCCTGATCCTTCTAAGTAGAGGAGCTCTTGACTTTATATGAGAGTTTCACTATTTGTAAATATGTTACAGTGTGACACTTTCTTTTCAAAGGTTTTTGCTACAGTTAGTTTCTCCAGCAGCCATTTTGGATAACTCACCTGCATTTTTAAATGTGGTGGAGACAAATCCTTTTAAGCATCTTACTCACCTGTCACTAAAACTTTTACCTGGAAATGATGTGGAAATAAAGAAATTTCTAGCAGGCTGTTTGAAATGTAGCAAGGTAAGTTTTAAATTTAAGTTATTCTTTTAAAATAGTTATAGAAAGTCACTGAGGAGCTTATTACCTTTCAAATATTTGTATTTTTGGAACAAAATTATTTAAAAACCTCCAGGAAGTTTTTATAAATATGTGATACATTTATTTTATTTTATTGTTTCTTAGTTAGTGAAGGTACAACAATGAGGATAAAATTGAACCAGAAATTGGGAAACTTAAGTGCCGAAGTTTCTGTGGCCTTGAGCAGGTCACTTAAACTCTTAGTGTCATGATTTCATCAGCTGACAGATACTGTATAGAAATATCTCCCTTGTCTAGCCCCATGAGATACATGAGACAACATGTATGAAAGTGTCTTCAAAAGTACAAAGTGCTATATAACTATGTAAGGCATGTGGCACAAGAAAACAACATTAAGAATGCCTCTTAAGAGTTTCAGGAAGTCTTTTTTTCAAATGCTATAGATCAGTGACTCAAAATTTAATGGGTATACAAATTGTCTGGGAATCTTATTAAAATGTAGGTTCTGATTGAAAAGGTCTGAGATGGACCTGAGTTTTTGCATTTTTAATAAGCTCTCAGGTAATGCTGATGCTACACTTTGCTGCACTTTGAGTAGCATGGCTACAGATGATTGTATTAAATTGTAAACTGCATATTTTTTTAATTTTCATAAATAGGAAGAAAAATTGTCATTGACACAGTCACTAGATGATGTTACTAGGCAACTGAACTTGACACAAAAGGTAATTCAGGGTTCATTTTTTTCTTTATAAGTTATTCAGGCATTGGCTCTTGAGTTGCTTTTTGAATCATATCCAAACTTTTATGTATTTTTTTTTCAAAGTGTGCTACCATTGAATTCCCTCTCCTTTTTGCTACCTTCCCCTACCAGTTGTCTTAATTTAATCTGATGCTATTTTTTTTAGATCTTTTGTTCCATTCAAACATTTGTTATCCCCAAAACCTGATGCATTTTCTCATCTCTCCAAGCTTTTGTTAAAATAATGTATGAAAATTATCTGTCACATGTTAGTTTTCTGCTCCCTTTTTAATTCATGTAATTCCTCTTAACTTTCAGTTCCTATCTTCCAAACCTTTGTTTCTTTCCCATTCTTCTGTTAGGTTTAGAATTCCTTCCTTGGTTGGCTCCCTTGAGGCTTATCATCCTTTCAGTCATAGCTGCTGTCTTTTGTCCCTAGCTTAAAATTAAGGAGCAGAGTATCTGACAAGCTGCATGGCTTTAGGCAGAAAATATCCCTTCATAGCCCAACTCATCTTGGGGATCTATGCGTTGCTTTTCTTAATGCTAGAGGAGGGTATGGGTTAGAGAAAAGCCAGATTGAGTTAATAAAAGGTTAAGAGATGGTTAAGCTTGACCTGTGGGCCAATATAGCTCTAAAATTGTTCTTATTCAGATTCAAAAAAATCTGTGTAGAAAAATGCTTGAATATAGCTTGAAAAGATGTGATAACACTTTCTTTAATATCTTCGTAGATGTTGCCATGTTCCAGAGTATAACGTATTCAAGAGACTATCTTAATATTTTGTATTAAACTCTTAATACAGACATTATCAGAAAAAATCCAAGAACTAGATAAGCTACGGAATGAGTGGGCATCACACACAGCAGCACTGACAAATAAGCATTCTCAGGAACTGACAAATGAGAAGGAAAAGGCCTTGCAGGTAGGAATGTTAAAGGAAGCTAGAAAAGAATATTTTTGTTGCGATTGATCATTTTGTTAATTACAAAAAATAACGTTTACTGAGTGAAATAAGTCAATCATAGAAGGACAAATGTAGTATTAGTTCATTATTCTAAAAAGTCAAGGAAAGTTTTATATATGGAAGGAAACATTCTTTGTTGGTTACCAGGGGTGAAGGGGAGGGGAGGGAACACAGCAAAAAAAAAAAAAAAAAATGCATTCACTATACATAAATTATGGGAGCTCTGGTAGCATAGTGGCTAAGACACTTGCCTGCTCACCAGAAGGCTGGCGGTTCAAACCCACCAGCCACTCCTCGGAAGGAAGGTTGGGCAATCCTACTTCCGTAGTGATACTGCCTCGGAAACCCAAGGAGGGGTCGCTATGAGTCAGGGCTGACTCGACGGCACATAACAACAACAACAACAATACATAAATTATAGTTGAATAAAATGTATTTTAAAAAAATGTTTACTTTAAAATTTTAAAACATTGTAGAAATACATATATTTAAAAAATTATGTCTTCAAAGTCTTACTACTCAGAGATAACTTGTATACATTTCAATGTGTATATTTCTAGATTTTTCTCTGTGTGTAAAGGATATGTAATTATAGATATATACATACATGTATAATAAGTTTTGGTTTTGTTTTATACAATTGGGGTCCTATTAGATGTATTGATTGTAACTTTAACTGCTTATTCAAGTAATGGATATTTAAATGCTTCAAAATTCTAGTTATTGCAAACATACTTCAGTGAACATTCTTTGTTCCTAGAAGTGAGATTGCAACATATGTATATAAAATATTGATAGATACTACAAATTTATCACCCAAAAAGGTTGTACCAAAGGATATCTCAAAAATATTATGTGAGAGTACTTATTTTCCCATGCTCTTGACATTATTGATAACCTTCTTAATATTTGTCATCTGATAGGTGGTAAGATAGTACTTTTTAAATTCATATTCTTAGATTTTTAGTGAAGATAAATATCTTTTAATATGCCTTCTTACCATTTTATTTTTTCTGTGGGTTACTTTTTAATATATTCTGCTCTTCCTATGCAGTTTCTATTGCTTTATAAGTGTAGATTTCTCTTTTACCTTTTATAGTATGCTTTCTTTAATATTTATATTCGTTTTATCTTCTTGTACTTTATTAATTGTTTTACTTTGAATTAAACATGCAGCTTGATGATTTTTTTCATGTAAATTTCACCCAAATTAACATTCAGAAAATTGTACCACCTTCCAGGTTTCCTGTGTACCTTCTCAATCCATAGCGTACTCACAGGTCATCATCACTCTCCTGACTTTTGTCATCACTGGTTAGTTTTGCCTGTTCTAGAACTTCATATAAGTGGAATAATACACTGTGTACTTTTTTTGTGTGTCTGGCTTCCTTTACTCAACTTTTCATGGTATCTCTGAGATTCAGTTATGCACTTGCGTGTTTTTGTTGTTGCATAGTAGTTTATTATATGAATATACTGTAATTTATTTATTTTCCTATTGTTAGGCATTTCGGTTGTTTCTGATTATTTTTGTTATTGAGCAAGCTGCTTTGAACATTCTTATTCATGTATGTTTGTAGACACATGGGTTCATCTTTTTTGACTGTGTATCTAAGAGTGAAATGGCGGCATTCTAGGATAAACATATATTTAGCTTTAGTAGAAACTGCCAAAGAGCTTTGCAAAGGAGGTATACCAGTTTGCACTACCATTCTGGAGGTTTGTAATAGTATCTCATACTGATGTTGAGCACTTTTTATATGACTGTTGACCACTTAAATATTATCTTGTGAAGTGCCCATTCAAATCTTTAATGTTGTGAAGTATTACATGTTTGTCTATTATTCCTATTATGAATGTTTTCTCTTAGCCTGTCATTTGTCATTCATCAGTATCTTTTTCATATACATTTCTTTTTTTTTTTTTTGAATGTCATCATATTTGTGAGTCTTTCTATACAGCTTAAGCCTTCATTTTGTGTTAGGAAAACCTTTGTCACCTCAAATTTATGAAAAATATTCTTTCATGTACTTGTGCTTGTTTCTGAGCTATTGGGAAGAACTGACATCTTTGGAAAGATGTCAGCCAAGGGAAGAGGCACATAGGGCAGAGTCTGGAAGGGGTGCAAATGCTGAGCTAGTAGTTGTCCTCTTCCATGAAATAATGCATGGCATCACCTCCAGGCCATAATGTGTGACAATATACAGAGCAATACCAATGAGGGCAGCTTACCTGGTATCCAGAGTTTGTGTTTGGCCAGACTAATGGCTATAGTCTCCAGTTCTTTGGAGGTCAAAACTGATAAAGGATGGCTCAAAGCCTATCATTAATCATATCATTAGACTGTTTGGTGGCCAAAGTCCCAGCAAACAAAGACACTCCTATTAGAAGGACATTTCATGGCCCTAGTGATCACATCCTAGTACCCGACAGGAAGCACTAGCCAGACCTCTCTTTGGTAAGGCTGACTCTTTACTACACACTAGATTCAGATGAATGAGAATATTTTCCATTTTTCTCTATGCTTGGAACAGACAGATAACAAGGAATTATCTTTTTCTTGAAGGACTGATAGAATTAGCCTTTTAACATTTGAATATAGTGCCTTTTTTTTTTAACTTTTTCATGGATTTGAGTGAAAGTTTATAGAGCAGTTCAGTGTTACATTCAGTAATTCAAACACATTTTGTTTCATGGCATTGATTGCAGTCTCCTCAATGAAACATCACTCCCCCCACTTCCTCCTGGTGTTTCTCATTTCCATTATTCCTCTTGTCCTAATCCTTTCTGCTTTCTGAACTTTGTCCTTGAGCAAATGCTGCCCTTTTAATCTCAAATGATATGTTCTTCTGAGGAATGTGTACCTACCTAGAGTTACTGTTCATCTTGTACACCTGTGTGTTTGGCTGAAAATTGAACCATGGAGTGAGTTCAATTGCAGGTCCAAAGGGTGCCTAAGGGCCATAGTCTGAGGGGTTCCATCAGTCTCTATCTGACCAGTAAGCCTGGTCTTTTTTAAATCATTTTTAGTTTTGTTCCACATTTTTCTCCCACTCTATCCAGGATCTTCTAATGTGATCCCTTTGAGAGCAGTCAGTAGTGGTAGCTGGGTACCAGCCAGTTCTTCTGGTGTCCGTGTCATGGAGGCTAAGATTGTGTGGTCCATTAGTCCTCTGGACTAATTGTATCCATGTATCTTTGATTTTCTTCACTCTTATTTGCTCTGGATGGAGAGAGACTAATAGTTGTACCTTAGATGGCTGTTCTGAAGTTTTAAGACCGCAGTTGCTACTCACATGGTACCTTTTCCAGGCATTTATCTTTAGGTTCGTTTCACGTTTCCATTGTGGTTATTGGTTTGCTTGGATTTTAAATTTTTCCTTAGTGACTTTTGTTAATTTATATTTCCTTAAATTATGTGTTTTATCTTAGTAAGATACGATACTATCTTAGAATTTTTGTCTCTGTCATTTATCTTTTCTCATATTCTTAATTTGTGTTTTTTGTTTGTTTTTATTTTGATGAAACTTGATGTTGGTGTATCTGTTTTTTAGTGTTTTTGAAGAACCAGTTTTTGTTTCATTAATTAGTTTTGCAGTATTTTCCCTGCTATTTCATTAATTGTTATTATTGATTTTCTTTTTTTGGCTCTATTTTCAAATAATTTAGGTTCTAAGAGTGTTCATTAGTGCATTTGTTTTAACTCCAAAGTGACTAAAAGGTTTGTTTGCATTGCCCAGTGCATTTTCTAATAGATTTGAGAAAATCAGTCCCTTGGAACTTTAAAACAACGCCAATTCTTTTCTTCTTCCTGATAGAGATTTTATATAGCAGGGCTTGTAAAACTTAAGTGTATAGCAGAATCACCTGTAAGTCTTGTTAAACTACAGTTCTGGGGCCTCATTCTCATAGTCTGATTCAATAGGTGTAGAGTAGGGTCTTAGAATTTAATTTCCTAGTAAGTTCCTAGCTGGTGCTGATTCTTCTGGTCTGAGACTCACAAATTTTAAGAACCACCACTACAGAGCATTGTTTCCCAGATTAGAGCAATTTTGGGCAAATACGAATCTCTGGTTCGGAATCAAGAAGAGAGTGTGTCAAGGTTGTATCCTTTCACCATACTTATTCAACTTGTATGCTAAGCAAATAATCTGAGAAGCTGGGTTATATGAAGAAGAACGTGGCAACAGGATTCGAGGAAGACTCATTAATAACCTGGGATATGCAGATGACACAATTTTGCTTGCTGAAAGGGAGGATGACTTACTTGAAGCACTTACTGATGAAGATTAAAGACTACAGTCTGCAGTATGGATTACTCCTCAATATAAAGAAAACAAAAATCCTCACAACTGGTCCAATAAGCAGATTCATGGTGGATGGAGAAAAGACTGAAGTTGTCAAGAATTTCATATTACTTGGTTCTGTAGTCAACACCAGTGGAACCAGCAGTCAAGACATCAGATGACATATTGCATTGGGCAAATCTGCTGCAAAGAACCTCTTTCAAGTGATGAAGAGCATGGATGTCTCCTTGAAGACTAAGGTGCGCCTAACCCAAGCCATGGTATTTTCAGTCACCTGTTATGCATGTGAGAGCTGGACAATGAATAAGGAAGACCAAAGAAGAGTTAATGCTTTTTAGTTGTGTTGGAGAAGAATGCTAAGACTACCATGGTCTGCTAAAAGGATTAACAAATCTGTCCCAGAGGAAGTGCAGCCAGAATGTTTCTTGGAAGTGAGTATGGCCAGACTTCGTCTCACCTACTTTGGTCATGTTGTCAGAAGGAACCATTCCTTGGAGAAGGATATCATGCTTTGTAAAGTGGAGGGTCAATGAAGAAGGGGAAGGCCCTCAATGAGATGGATGGACACAGTGGCTTCAACGATGGGCTCAGGTACAGCAAGGATCGTGAAGCTGGCCCAGGACTGGGCAGTGTTTTGTTCTGCTGTGCATA